CTTGATCAATGACTCTCTCATCATTGATGTTTCTACCTCTCTCTCTCCCTCTCCTTTCCTCTCTCTGAAATCAATAAAGTTATATTTAAAATAAAAATTAAAAAAGTAAATAGCAAAAATATGGAGTAACAGAACGAGGCCAGAGTTGCCGCAAAACACAGAGAGAATCAGGCAACTTTTCTCAGCTCTGGGGTTCTAGCAGCAAGATGGAGGGGAAGCCCCCACAGGTGTTTCTGATGGCAGCCTCCTCTGAAATACCAGTTTGGAGAATCTATTAAAAACCACTGACAAGCTATTTTAAGAAATGTCGCCCACTCCTTCCAATGAGTGCCTTTCATTCTTTTTAAATTACATGGGTCTTTTTTTTTTATTTTATTAAATATATCTTTATTGATTTCAGAGAGAGGAAGGGAGAGGGAGAGATAGAAACATCAATGATGAGAGAGTCATTGATCGGCTCCAGCCCTCAACCCGGGCATGTGCCCTGACCAGGAATCGAACCCTGATCGCCTGGATCCTAAGTCGATGCTCAACCGCTGAGCCACGCCTGGCTGGGCAAACTACATGGGGTCTTAACTCTTTCAGCCACTGGGGCAGGAACTGAATACCCCCCCACTCTTTTTTAAGTACATTCACAAAATTGCACGACCAACACCACAACCTAATTCCAGAACATTTTCATCACCCCAACAAGAAATCCTATACACATCAGCAGTCAAGGAATTGATCATACAGAGGTGCTTGATTTAGGAGTTGTCTTTAAAAAAAAAAAAGTGAGTGGTTCCTTATGTTGGGGATTCTGAATCCTGACAACCAGGCTTTGGGCACATTTTCAACTATCTAGAATTGAAAGGTTTCTGAGATGCACTCATTTTATATGGATGCATACATATATATGTATTTTTGAAAAACTGCTAGTCACTGCTAGTCATTTGGAGCTCCACCCCTTCCTTCAATCAAAGCTTCTACACTCTACAAAGGATTTCCCTTATAAGGTAAAAGAGGCTTGCTAGATACATGTGGCCAAGGAACAGGAAGATGTCGGTTAATCACACAAAAATCTAAATGAAACCAGCTGTTGGAGGCAGCCCCAGAAGTCTGCCACACGCCGGCTCTTGGCTTTCTCTACAGGCGACTGAGAAAGAGTTCTTTTTTTCCCCCTCTGGGCCCCATTCCTTTGCCCAGGAACCTTCTTCAGGCTTTCCCCCTCCTGACCAAGAGAATCGGACTTTGAAAAGTGAACTTTTAAAGATGTCTGCAACTTTCCAAAAACATATCTCCTATCAAATGCACGTCCCACTCCTGTCCTGGCTCAAGGCTGAGGGCCATTTTTAAGCAGAAGTAATTGTCCTCCAGTGAGATGACTTGGGATGAGATCAGAGGAAGGATTACGCCAGTTCCGTGTGCGAAAGAGGCCAAACTAGCTACTGTTGTAGGCTTACAGGATTAAAGGCTGCAACTCAGGCCAATGCTGAAGCAGTCTGGGGCGCAATACCCATGGCAATTCCACCTGGCAGGGCATCTTCTCCACTTCTGGGAAGCCCACTCTGAGTCCCAGCACTCAAGCTTTCAGGGTCCCTCAGCTTCCACCCTCTCCCCCAACTTTTCTGCCTTTGAGTCTTTACACAACCAGGTGTCCTGTCCCAGAAAATTCTGTGCATTTTCTGCTCAACCTCCATTTTGAAGCCCCCTGGACGGCCTCTTCCCTGCCATGCTCCCATAAGGGAACTGAGACCCCTGGAATGCAAATCGGCTTCATGATCCTGTCCCCCTTGCCCCCACGAGGCTGTGAGCTCTTCTGGCGATATTGGGAGGGGAGGAAAAAACAGCACAGGGATGGAGCACCTCCTCTGTGCTAGAGGCACGAAGGGAGGTTTTACTCCTGGGACCTTCCCAACACCCTAGGGAAGCGCCATTATCATCACCCTTCCTTTACATGGGTACACTCTCTCCTAGGGGTTAAGTACCTAGCGGTAGGAGACGGAATTAGAATCCAGATCTCTCACTAGCCCCAGGAGTTGCCACCATCTGGCCCATCCCGAGGGGCAGTCGGGCACGGAGAGAGGGCGGCAACCCCTCCTCACTCAGCCCCGCCACGCGCAGCGGAGGCGTACAGACCGCCCGCCCCCAGCTCACGCTCCGAGGGTCCCCCGGAGGAAGGCGGGGTCCCTCCCGCTGCCCGGGATCCCGCAGCGGCCAGCTCGGGGCTGAACTTCCACCCCTTGCGGGGACAGATACGTCGCCGCCGCGCCTCTGGGAACAGCTGGGAAAGTTCTGCGGGGGACGGAAAGCCTCGGAAGCGGCGACAGTGCGCGACGCAGCCGTCCCCCACCCCGGTCCGAGGCGGCCAGCCTCAGCCCAGACAATGGAAAGCTCGTTTCCACTCTCACTTCCCGCTCCTAGGGGCGGCCACGGGTCGCCCCCACACCCCCTCCGGGTCCCCGCGCCAGCCCGAGTGGGATGGCTGCTCGGCGCCCCCACCCCACTCCGGGATCGCACGAGCCCTCCGCCCCATCC